TTAAAATAGGTGGAGACAAAAGCTTGCAATCTCAGTTTTCCTCGTGGGCAACACCCCTGGGGCTCTGATCAGTGGTAGCTTTTGGTGCTGCTGAATTTGGCCAGAGAACATGATTAAAAATTATTTGTGGTGATTTTCCTTCTTAACAGGGAAACAGAAAGACATTTGTGTCCCTGATGAAGGCTCCTCTTTTTTTCTTTCTATGTCAATTCTTTCATGTTCCTTATCACAGAGTTACAAGTGAGCTTGGACCAAACAGTGTTTTAGAATCTCCAAGAGGGGGAAAAATTCGCCTGGTGCTCTAACTGGAGAAGTTTTATCAATCGAGAGAAGGCAGGAGGAGGAGGAAGAGAGGAAAACCAGTTAACGAAATTATAAAAAGCTGTGGTTATTATTTTTTTTTCTTCTTTCACTATTGTTGTTTCACTATGTGGTCATAATGTTCTCCGTGTAATAATAAAAATGTAATAATGTTGCATTTAATTTTTTTCTTTATTCTTTTGGTGTTTATAGCAATAACAAAAACAGATGGTTTTATCCACCACCGTAGCTCAAAGAATTACATTTCCTCTACATAAGAGATATTTATGTCTAAGGAACCAAACTAATGATTTAAAATCAGAGCATACTCTTTCCAGAACAGACAACACAAGAATAATTGATTTCTGAATTTCTTTTTTTCTACACTCCATCTCTGTTATATGTTCTATCATTGTAACATCAACCACTTATATTTATGCACCTTCCACAATATGTCACAATTGCCACGTTCATAAATCATCTTTGTTGGTTATATTTCAATTTGGGTATTTCTAGATTATCTAAAATAAGGGTGGCAAATAGGTGCAAAGTCTCTTTCCAATGCAGTTGCTAGTCACTACTTAGAACTCTGGTCCTCAGCCCTCACCACACATTACAATCCATCTGGGGAGCTTGTGATAATTGATGTCAATCTCCACCACAGAGCACTTTTAGAATCTTTATGGGCTGGGCCCAGGCATGTTTAAAATCTTCCCAGGTATTTTTAATGTATATCCAGGATTAAGAATCACTGATCTGGAAGCAGTGTCTCTCAAATTTCAACAAAAATCAGGGTCACTGTTCAGTACCTGTAAGTCAGTGGTTAGGGCACCGGCCACATATACCAGGGCTGGTGGGTTCAAACCTGGCCTGGGCCTGTTAAACAACAATGACAACTGCAACAAAAAAGTAGTAAAATATTGTGGCAGGCACCTGTGGTCCTAGCTACTTGGGAGGCTGAGGTAAGAGAATGACTTAAAACCCAAAGTTTGAGGTTGCTGTGGGCTGTGATGCCACGGCACTCTACCGAGGACAACATGGTGAGACTCTGTCTCAAAAAAAAAAAAAAAAATCAGGATCACCTGGAGAGCTTATTAAAAATGTAGATTGTCAGGCCCTACCACCAAATTTTCTGATTCACTAGGTCTGGGGTGGGGCCCAAGAATTTTCATTTCTAACAAGTTCCCAAGTAGTGATGAGAACCAGTTGGTATGAAGTTAAGGTTCAGTGGAAAAGAGGCCACAATTGTTAAACAGTGGCTGACATGGACACAAGAAGTAGGAACTGTATACTATTTACTGCCTTTTGAGAAACTCATCAGTTTACTGTTCTCAACCAAAATGTAGAAATAGGCTACTTCTGGGGTGATTTGGTATCTACACTTAATCCTGCCCCCATCATATTTTGCTCCCTGACCTCCTAGCTACCTCAGCAGGCAGCCCAGCCAGGACTGGAAGCTGGTCTGCTAACTCTGGCATGGTGCCATCTCAGCTACTCCATGCTGCTTCTGCTAGGACCTGCCTAACTTGGGGCCTTGAATCTCTGTCCACTATTTATATCTATTGCCAGAGAGAGGTACTTATTTTCTTATGAGTGAAAACTACAAAGTATGAGTTGTTTTATCCAATTTGCTGGCTGAGATTCAATGACTTATCTTAGAAAAATCCTGTAGAAAGTCAGAGAGATGCATGAGGGCAAGGAGAGAGGAACTGCAGAGAGTGTAGATGGGCACCCAACCTAGCCCTGCCTATTTCTGAACTTGAGCGTTCCTTTCTTTTCTCTCAGTTCTGAAGGGCTCTGCAGATCCTACGAGCCATTCACAAGCAGAATCCAATGATGGCCATGAGGAGACTTCAAGCAACTCTTCTGCCATCACTGAGAAAAATGGGTGAGTCTTATCCACAGAGTTCCCTGTTATAAACTCAGGTTCTCTGTTCCAGTGGGAATGAAACTAAAATATTTATACCACTTTGGTATTTTGATAAGTTGGAAAGAGTGGAGCCCAAAAGCATTTTCTAGCAGATTCTCCCACGTCAGAGGTCATCCCCCTTGGGCAAAAAGCCTTTATTCTACAGAACAACCTGAACACAATTCTGTGGGGGTTTTTTGGTTCTCTTCTATAACCTGTTTGTGGACACATTAGGTAAAAGCAGTGGGTCTTAACTGAGGGTAATTTTCCCCCTTCAAAAACATCTGGAAACATTCCTCATTGTCATAACTTCAGGGGAAGAGTTGTGCTACTGGTATCTAGTGGGTAGAAGCCCATGATGCTGCCAGACATCCAGCAATCCACGGCACAGTCTCCCCAAAACAAACAGATGTCCAGTCCTAAATGTCAATAATCCCAAAGTCGATAAACCCTGCGGCTAGGCCTGGGCTGTATACACATAGTCCCAGATACTCAGAAAGCTGAGTTAGGAGAATCCCCTGAGCCCAGGAGTTTGAGTACAGCTAGGGCAGGCTGAAGACAGCAAAATTCTTGTCCCTAAAAGAATTAATTTGAGAAATCCAACATTTAAGCTAAAGCAAAAAGGCAGTCCCATTTCTTGTTTACCTACAGTTTTTAGTTAAATATAATTTAAAGAGAGCAGAGCAGAGCTTCCTTGTCATTGGACATCTGAGCTTCTCAAAGTCTGTAGGGCCTGTTACCCTGGCTAAATGTAGGCTCAAGTCACTTTAAGCCAGGCCAGAGCAGGCCATGACACCAAGGGCTGGAGACTCAAGGCCTCCGCTCACCGGGGCCCCAGCCTGTTCTTCAGGGAAAACTTCATAATCTGCCTTCTCTAAGAAACGGTTTCCAGAACTGTCACACATGTCACTGCAAGGAGGACACAGCTATAGGAAGGAGTGGAGCATGGCAAAGGGAAGGTCTAAAAAGAAGGAACCTTATGGGGTGGCCCCTGTGGCTCAAAGGAGTAGGGCACCAGCCCCATATACCAGAGGTGGTAGGTTCAAACCCGGCCCCAGCCAAAAACTCCAAAAAAAAAAAAAAAAAAAAAGGAACTTTGCCTTATTTTTCCCCAAATTGATTATGGGAGAACTTCATTAAAAGTTATAGTCAAGGATTTAGAGAAAGACACATCATTAGAGAGTTTTTTGTATCTTTTCACCCAGAAAAAGAGGCAGTTTTCATTTATAATTTTAAAAAATAATTATTTTTTGAGAGTTGGAAAATTCTCAATATTTCTCCAGTGGCCTCAAATTGTCATTGGACTACTTTTAAAGTAAACTACTTTGCACTACTTGCCTAAATAGTCAGAATCACTCATTTAAGAGTACCTCAGGTTAGTACCTAACATCTCATATCATTAATAGAATAACAGAGTTTACACTTTCTGATGTGGCAGAAGATCACTGAGCTTGGCAGGTGGAAGATGTGGGTTCTGGTCCTGGTGCTAATGTTTTCCAACTGTTTGACTTTGGGCAATTCTGTGAGCCAGTGTGGAAAATTACATCAACTCAGCCTGGCTCCCCTCAACTGCAGCTGATGGATGACTTTGCTGAGACTATCAGGAGAGTGCTCTGAGCTCTCATCCTCAGCTGGCCTTTCCTTCTTTGCTCCCATCTCCCAGGCCACAGATCTTGTTTCCTGCACAGTGTTCCTACCCACCGGGCCCCGCACTATTAGTTAGCCTCCCCTCCCTTCACTTTCTCATCTTTCCCACTCTGCTATCTCTTTCCCTTTTGCTTATACCTCTCCCTGTTCCAAGAAAAGCCTGCCATTGGCCCTGTCCCGCCCCTCTTAATTTTCCCACCATACTCCTCAGACCTAACATCAGAGTCGGCTTCCCCATTCTCTCACCAAACCAAATCCTCTATTCTTAATCCTGAAATTAGTTTTATGCCTTCACCTTGTCCCTAAAACCATCCTTAGAACCTCAACTCCTAGTTGCACGAGACTTATCTCCGTCAGGCCCTCTGTGCTCTCCTGGAAGAGCCTTCTCCATGGGAGTCTGTGTTACTGTGTCCTGCAGGTTCTTCCCCACAGACAGCCTCAGCCTCTGTTTTCTTTGGCTTTATTCTCTTTCATCCACCATTAAAATTAAGGTGATTAGCCCAGAATTGACTTCTTCTTCCTCTACTCCCACCTGGGTGGTGGTAGCTTGAGCATTTCTCATCGAGTATTCTGGTATCAGCTCTCAGCTGTGTGAGCTCAAGTCCCAGATCCCCATTCTACCCTCCTCACTCCTGCCCCCAAACTCCTGCCGGGCGTATGTTCCTGATGGAGACACACCGGAGCCTCGACAGCAAAGTCCTCACTAAAGCACCTCCTCCACCAGACCTCCCACGTAAACACTATCTGGTGACCTGGCTTTGGAACCTGGCACAGTCATCTTTGACTCCCACCTCTCACCTAACCCTGCCTCCAATCAGTCCTTCTCTGGTCCGGGACTGTCATGACCTCTTTCTCTTTCTCCTCTTTACAGACCAGCTTTCATTTCTGATATCTGATCAATTGTCCTACAACATATTCTGACCTGGTCAAAGAACTTTAATGGCTTTCTACTTTAGACCAAAAGAGGATCAGACTTCTCGGTCTGCTGTTCCCCGCCTCTCCCTAGCTGCTTCAGTTCGTCCCCCAGGCTCGCTTCTACTATGTCCCTGTATATGCTCTGTGGCCATCCAGAATGGAACTTCTAATCGTTCCACCAGTGTGCCTGCCACTCTTCCTCCTGCCAATTCCTTTCTGTTCAACTCTGGCCTTTTGTCAGGATACGTTGTCATATCTCTTCACTCCATGAAGACATTAATTCTTTTTAATACTCTTTGAACTGTAGCCTATGTGTAACAGCACTGCTCAAAGTGCTGTTTCACAACAGGATTATAAACCTGTGCCCAAATATAAATCAATTCAGCTGCTTTCTTCATCAAGAAATCTTGTTACAGCAGCCAGCATAGCATAGTGGATACCTTAATGTGCTATGAACCTATCAACCCAGGTTCAAATCCCAGGCAGGGAGGCTAGTGAAAGGTAGGTAGGCAGGCTAGGGGCAGAGCTAGGCAGAACAGGGGGAGGAGCAGGCAAATCAGCTGAACTAAACAATGTAGCTGGTGATGAGTTGATTTACATGGTGGCACAGCTCCTAATGGCATTGCGAGTGGTAACAGTTCACAGACTGGGTCCTCACACCACACTCTCCTGCCCTTCACGTTTTGCGTATAATAGTTGACTGTGTGCTAGCAAGTTAGCTTTTCAAAGGTAACGACTGATGCTTACTCTTTCTTGTATCCAATACACACAATAGGTACTCAATAATTTTATTGAGCTAACTTCCAAGACCACTTCTAAGCACTCAGATTTTTTTTTTTCGGAGACAGAGTCTCATTATGTCACCCTTGGTAGAGTGCTGTGGCTTCACAGCTCACAGCAACCTCCAGCTCTTGGGCTTAGGCAATTCTCTTGCCTCAGCCTTTCAAGTAGCTGGGACTACAGGTGCCCGCCACAACACCCAGCTGTTGTTTGGTTGCAGTTTTCATTGTTGTTTAGCAGGCCCGGGATGGGCTTGAACCCACTAGCCTCAGTGCATGTGGCTGGCACCCTACTCACTGAGCTATGGGGCACCCTACTCACCAAACTACGGGCACCGAGCCAGCACTCAGATTTTTATGAGAGAAATGTTCTTCCTGCTCAATCTTTGGGTGGTGGCAACAATAAGAGGATCCAGAATAATTTGTCAGCTGTGTGTCAGGATATCCCTTCTCCAGGGTGATGGGGTCCCATTTTCCCCTTTATGTCTGTCAACTCATTGTTTTGTGAATCAACACAAAGGTTTATAGGAAGGAAGTCTTGGGGACGGGGCTGTGATGGGCAGAATAAGAATAGAGCTGGGTTGTGCTGATGGAGAGGTTCTCAGTGGCAAGTAACAGACTCCCAACCAATAGATTCAAGTATTCCTCAGGACAAGAGGTT